AATTCACAACAAATCACGTAGCGGCCTATCCGGTCCGAGAATCAACGATTACCGTCATGCATAATCAACAAACCCAAATTAGAATTAATCCAACTTACCTGCGCGGAATCGAGCCCAAGGAATCGATCCTCAAGCTCGCTGCCCCCGCCGGAGCAGTCCCCATTGTCGCTGGAACAACCCCGGCACCCCGCCGGTAGCCGCCCCCGACTGCCCAAACCCGAAGCCCGGCCAAACTGCCCTATTGGGTGATTTACAGCCACCCGGACAGCCATCATCTAGCCCCAAACGGTCCAATCCAACCCAATTGTATCGAATTAAATCCAAATAACCTAATTGAACCCGTTACGACCCAATTGAACCCAATTGCACCCATTTGGACCCAATTGGTGCCAATTAGATCCAATTGGTCCAAATCAAGAGGCTGCCCAGTTCCGGCCACCTCGCCGCCGTCGTTGCCGACGATCGCCGGAGGTGATGACGGAAACAGCCCCCTAAATACCAATTCCATAATTTCAACACAACAATCACAAATTCCCAATCAAATCGCAAGATTATACGCCAAGGAAGTTCTAATCTACAAATTAATGCTAACGGAAGGTATAGAAACCACGAATCACCTCGAAATTTGACGAATTCAAAGCTTAACCGAGGAGGGAGAACTGCCGCTGCAACTCTCTGATTTCGCCGGCCTGTTGCGCGCGATGGAGGGACGGGACTAGGACGTCACTCGGAACCACTGGCATCGATGGCGAGTCACGGCAGCGCTGCTGGAGATGGCGGTGGTTTCTTTCGTTGCCTCCCGTCTTCGGTGAACAGCGCAGAAGCAACGAGCAGAACGGCTGAAGAAACGGACGCAGGGAAGAGAGGAAAGGGTCGTGCGTTTTCCCAGGCTGGATTAATATATAGTTATATTTAGGGTCCAATTTAAACTTCCTAACCAATTAGGACAAGTTTAATCCCACTTACCTGATTTTTCAATCGTATCCCAAACCTTGTGGATCCAATTCACAACCCGTTTGCGCGATCGGATTCAGAACCGCGAGCTCTAAAATGTAGGATCAACCCTCATTTATTAAGGCAAATTAGAAAATAATCTTCGTATTGACCGACTCAATAATAATTTAAATTTTATAAATTAATTAAAATGCTAAGCCGGGTTTTGGGGCGTTACATGTAAAATCTTTGAATATTTGGATGACTTAAATATATTTTTGTCGGTATTAACTTTGAATATTTTTTATCTGGAGCAATTTCATAAAGTTAATTTTTCCGTCGACCAAACCTGTTCTTGCACTCTATGTCGAAGACAACCATTACTAAACTTGGTCGACTCTAAAGTAAATACTACATAGTAAATACTCTGTAGTAAATATTATTAATAAACGGTGGATGATCTTATAATTTAAAAAGTCGACCAAGAAAACATTACTTGGTCGACCTTTTATTAGGAGTCGCATCGAGTTCCATTTGATGTTTTTCAAATTTCAAAAATAGTTTCTATGATCGACCAAAAAAATAATAAAGTTTGAGTAAGAGGTCGATTTTTGAAATCTTTGCCAGTAAAAATTCATTAATTATTATAAAAAATTTTCCAACCATAATAATGGGACAGTGAATTGGGACAGTAAATAGTAATTGAAAAGATTTGATGTGACGGAGGCAGGTTATATCGAACGGTGGATAAAGGCCCTTCTTATAATCTCCGTAAAAATAATTATTGGGATATGGGTTTCCCTGCATGCTTTTAGACTACCCTAATTCGATGCCAAACTGTAAAGTTTTCTGTCCCATCTTATCTCTTGCTCAGTCATATTTTTTGCAAAAATACTCCAATGGGATTAGTTTGATCGACCTAGCCCACTAATAGACTTGGTCGATTTTTTTATTAAGAGTCGCATCGAGTTATACGATTGACCAAACCTAATATTAAAAGAGGTCGACCAACATAATATTAAAAGAGGTCGACCAAAACCAAAATAATAAAATCTGAGCATATGTCGATTTTGAAATATTCTTTCCCTCTAGTTGTTTTACAGAATTTTGCATAAAAATATATTATGTTCTTCATATGTATTCTTATAAGAATAGACTTATACGCAGTAAAAATTCTTTAATTACTCCGTATTTTAAAAAATTTTCCAATTGTAATAATGGGACAGTAAATAATACTCCGTATTTTTAAAGATTTGATGTGACTCAGGTAGGTTATATCGAACGGTGGATAAAGGCCCTTCTTATAATCTCCGTAAAAATAATTATTGGGATATGGGTTTCCCTGCATGCTTTTAGACTACCCGAATTCAATGCTAAACCGTTCAAAGTCATCGCACCAAGAACCGTTCAATGCCAAAGCCTTCTTTCACCAAGTACCAATGGTTATCCCCCTTATAAATTCTAAATCATTGCACCATCCTATACTCAATCCATCCACAAATCCGGTTGTTCTCCAATCCTTTCACCCATCATATTCTCAAATCCGGTTATTTATCCTTAAAATTTCTCACCTTTATATTATAATGTATTGGGAGTAATGGTTCTTTCATTTACGTGGTTATTTAGTAAAGAGCGTAATGGATTTCTCGTATTAATAAAAAGAGCTTAATGGATTTCTCGCGATCCATTATGTTCTTTTTGCCAATCTCCCACCGCCTTAATCGGAAACACATTGTTTTTGGATCAACAATGTGTATTCTTCCCTTAAAGTTATTTTGGGGTGGAGAGATGTGCGTCAATTGCTACTTGCTCTTAGGGGGGCTATGGAGGAGGAGGCACAACAAGTACAGAGCTGACATGGTGGAGGCTCTGAGCTCAAGTGGTGAGTCCAAGAATGTGCTTCTCACTACAGAGTCCAGTGTTGGATTATGTTATTAGAGTCCATCTGTAATATACCCACCCTGGGAGGGTTGACTTTTGGACTTTATAATACAGATGGACTGTAAATAAAAATAATTAAACTATCAAAGGATCAACTACTACAGACCTACCATGGAAGAGGCTTTAGCTCAAGTGGCGAATCAAAGAATATGCACATTCACACTACGGTGAATAGAAGTCTACATTTTGTGATGGACACACATAACGAGTTCCATTTGTGCTTTTGTTGTTTTACTTATTGTTGCCGAATGTTAAACAATGCACAACGAAGTTAATTTCTGTTCTGTTTCTTTAATTCATTTATATGATCATCTTTTGTATATTGGAATCAAGGTTGTTTTCATATATTCACGTTGATTGTTAAACAATTTGATACAGAGTACAACAAGACTCGTCGAATGTTAAATTTCATCACTTAATAATACAACATTACAATAGTTCTTACAATATCCGGATAAAAAAGTTTTAAAAGTTGACAAAGGGGGAAATTTATTCTGATCTTAATTCAAACCATTCCTCATCACTCTTCGTCACTCATATCAGAGGAAGATCCAGAATCAAGGTCACTCACTGATAATCCTAGGATTTTTGCCAAAGCTTCCACCCTCGCTTCCAAATTCTGTATGATTTCCATCCAATTTTGAGACCCGTTTTGGAGTTCTATTTCTTTTGTCTCCGGTAACCCCAGCTTTTTCTCCATATCCTTCAATCTCTCCTTCTATGACTGAATTTTTTTCTCAATGTTTTTGGGGACATCATTTGCTTTTTTTCCATATCGAAAATTGTTTGAGATGCGGGTGATTTCCATTTCAATACGGAGTATTTCTGTATATATAAGTGTGCTTCACTCTTAGCCAGCATTAACATCCCGTGAACTTGGTCAAACTGTCAAAGTTTGGGAAATGTGCGATTTTTAACTTTATGCTGCATGTGAATAGGAAAAGAAAAAGTAAACATAAAGTAAACCGGGGGTACTTATTAAATTATTATGTCGACCTACTTGAATGTCGACGTATGTGGTCAACCTACTATAAAGCAACGTTTCATATTATAATGTCGACATTTTTTGTATAGGCCGAAGCAACGTTGATATTTCCGTCAAGGTTTTGGGAATTGTGCTGCTTTGTAAGTAAAGAATGCGAATTTAAATTATGTCGACCTATTAAATGTAGACCTATTACAATGTCGACATATATTTGGTATCGGTAAGTATTATTTTAAAAAATACTAATTTAATATTCCATATCCGTTAGTATTTTTTAAATTACAGAATGAGTTAAATACGTAATTAGGAATCGATGCGTTGATTTAAACTTTTCTCAGTTTACAATTTACAAAACGAGTTAAATACTGTACGTAATTAGAAAACGACGCCTATTTTTATCCGTCGACGGCGTCGTTTCATTTATGGGCTTGATACTATAAATATGGGAATCACCGGCTAGGGTTTCATACTTTCATCCCTATCCATTTGTAAAGATCTGCAAAATGATGAGTTTTTTTGTTATCCTCTCCGATGATCTCGGTTTCAGAGAAAGATTGGTTTGAGATTTCATTCATTTTCTTGTGTTTCTTTTACTTTTAAATTATGTTATGTCTAATTAACTCAATCTTTTACTGATTCAGATGATCCCAGATTACTTTAATAAGATTGCCGGTGGTCCTGAATACGCTGATGGCGATGTCATCAGGAATTGGGGCCCTCTTTCCGCAGACCCTGTTGAAGTGAAAATTGAACTATGTGAGCAAGGAAACCTCTTTTTTGGGGAGGGCTAGGCCAGAATAGTTGAGGCCTATAATCTGGAGGAGATTCATATTCTTCTTTTTCATTATGTAACGGACTTTGATTTTTCTATCCAAGTTTTATGTCAAAATGGGCGTGCGGTGGAATACTAATATTTCCACAGAAGAATAATAAGTACTCCCTATTATTTTTATTTTAATGAACTTTCTCCTTCTGCTCATCCATCCTTTATGATATTTTGATACTCCATGAGAAAAGATCTAATTTTTAACTTCATTCTTGGAAAAAGGTCCACAACTGAGCCTGAATATGACATAGAAATGGAAGAGGTAGCCTCTTGCATTTATGAGGTAGGTCGACTTTAAAATGTGGCCTTAAGTTCTCAATGCTTAATGCGTTAGATTTCACAATAGACACATTTAATTATAATAGCACAAGATTTATATTTAGGATTTTCAAAAATTCTCTCTATATTTAAATATAATTTCGACATTTTAAATGTCGACCTATTCTAATGTCGACAATATTTCTCCCTATTACTATTATTATTATTATTATTAATATTGTTTTTAATAATATATTATTAAAGTTAATGCTGATAATGGTCCTTGTACAAAATTTAAATGTTATTGCTGAATGTGATTTTTTATATTCATCGACCTACTACAATGTCGACATATGTGGTCAACCTACTATACAGCAACGTTTCCTTCGTCGTTTTATATTATAATATCGACATTTTTTATATAGACCGAAGATACGTTGATATTTTTGGGAATTGGGGCCCTCTTTCCGCAGACCCTGTTGAAGTGAAAATTGAACTATGTGAGCAAGGAAACATCTTTTTCGGGGAGGGCTGGGCCAGAATAGTTGAGGCCTATAATCTAGAGGAGATTCATATTCTTCTTTTTCATTATGTAACGGACTTTGATTTTTCTATCCAAGTTTTATGTCAAAATGGTAGAGGTTGTCTCTTTCATGAATATGGTAGGTCGACTTCTCGTTTATGAATATAATCGACTACTTGTGTACTATGGTTGGTCGACTTGTCGTGAATGTTGCCTTAAATTTTAAACGTTAAAGTGATTCTTTTCAAATTAAGGTCAACCTTTGTGTATGATTATGAAAGAGCTTGAATATGATAGAGGTTGACTATGATAGTATGTGGCCTCAAATTTTCAATGTTTAATGGGTTAGTTTTGACACAAAGACACATTTAAATACAATAGCACAAGATTTATACTTTACGAGTATTAAAAGTTCTCTCTACATATTGCATATGCGTATGAAGTTCTCAATTGGACAATGTCAAGTTCCCTGAATCCGCTAAGAACCGAAGGTTGCAAATTTTGAACACCAAGCTCAATGAACTTCAAAGCAAACACCCCACAGTCTGAATTTGTCTGTTGCGGCACCAAAGGACGTTCAACACTCCATTTCGCGGTCATGTCTCTGTGGTCACCAGAAATACCTTGAAGATAATTTGATGCATATTGGCACATCACAGGAAAAATTGTGAGCATTTTTTACAGTTCTTCTTCAAGTTTACTCATGCTTGTAATTCGTTGTAGGGAGTCAAACACCACCAGACACTTTCTATCGAATTCAGCTCTTATGGCGACCCAATGATCCTTTATGTTATGAACCCAATAAACACATGAAATATCCTTCCACGGTTTAGAGCATGAGTCCCATCTACCAAGAACTATTTCTGCGAGGCCGTTGTCCAGGATTGGAAATAGTTTAGTAGTGGCATTGACCTCACCTAACATTTGAAAGCTCTCTGGGAGGACGGCATATGTGCTATCTTTCTTGTTATACATTTTCATGAAGTAGATCATGATTTCTTCCATATGCTGCGTATGAAATAAAAATAAGTTGTTAAATTTATAATACTAAGTTATTTGTATATACGGAGTAATACTAATATTAACTTATATTATCGTGGTCTCTTACCAGCTGCCGGATTCCATCAAGGAACTCCACCACTTCTTAACAATACCGTGGGACTCTCTACTCTTTTCCATGATACAGTGAACTTCTCTCCCATCAGCAATTGCCATGAATTGATGGAAGGCCTCAAGTTGTTGGCTAGATGGGTTCTTTCATTTGTTGAGTTTCTCTTCCTCGGCTTTATCCAGCTCATTGGATACATTACTATTAATAACCTTTACCTTTTTAAGTACATTGCTGAAGTAGGGGCTCGATATATGAATACTTCGTTTCTTCTCCCAGAGACCTCGACCCAATTCCTGGATGTTAAAAGTAATATGTCAAGGAAAAGTAAGTTTAATTCAATAATACTCAAATTAAACCGTACCCGTGCAGCAGCGACTTCATCCACATCTGTCAGTTCTCTCAAGACGTCACCATCGGACTCAACTTTCTACTCAGAATTTATAAGGAATAAGCATTAGGCAGGATCACAAATGAGTTTATCAGAATATAAGTTTATTACCTCATCAACATTGTTTTCAGTTGATTTGCAGAATTCAACAACATCATGGACAATTTTATCACTCATTGCCATCTCATCTTCATTGTTTTCTCCCTCAACTGCAAACTTTTCCTCTTCTTCTTCCTGACAATTGGAAACATAATGCTTTACTAAAGGTTCAAAACATAAGAACATACTTTGGCGACCATAAAAATCAATGAAACAAAAAAGATCGACGAATGGGGTCGACCAAGTTACCTGGATTGGTGGACACCTATTCTTTACTTTAAATTGGTCAACCTCTTCTTCATCTTTCTCTTCAGGAATTCCTTCAAAACTGGAGAGCTTGACCATATTGTCTGCAATGGGCTCATCTTCTTCCTTCCCATCTCCTTCCTTCCCAACTTCTTCCCTCCCATCTTCTTCTTTCCCATCTTTTTTTTCCTCTTNCCCATCTTTAATAGCATCTTCATTATGGTCCACCCATTCAAAACAAGGGGGGTCGACCTTCTCATCTTCCTTCCCATCTTTTATTTCATCCTCTTCATTATGGTCCACCCCTTCATGTATAGAGTGGTCGACCTCATTCACTTCCACCGGCTCTTCTTTCTTCCCATCGTATTCCTTCGCTTCGTCAGTCCCTCCCTTTGAGGATGCAAGTAAGGTTAAGAGAATTCTTTCATCTAGTGTCTGAAATTTTCTTTCCAAGAAATTTTCAACCTCCAGACATAGCGTCTTTTGAAGCTCAGAAAATTTACCACCAATGTAATCTTTCAGTGAATTAGGCAAGATTTGACTAGAATTTCCACTTAAAGATGAAGCCTTGATATTGGTTGTCCTTTCCAACAGAGGGCTCTGCGTTTCCAACATAGGTCTGTGCTCAGCCTTTTCATGTGGGGTGCACGGCTTTGATACTTTTCTCCTCCTAAGGACATACTTTTTGGAGGGGACTTCTGACCCCTCACTTGAAGAGTGAACTTCATCTTTAGATGAATTCCTTCCTACAGGAACTTCATCTTCACTTGCTTGGGCCAGAAGTTTTTTCATGCATAATTGAATATGCTTGTCACCACCTTGGATTCCCCTTACGAATTCTCCAAGAGTTGGATTGGAAACAGAAGGCAAGGAGGTCAGACTGGTGATCCAAGGGGCACGTATTTCACTTCCTTCTGGAAGAATGCTCCTAACACTCTACAAAAGAAAGAGCATATTTAAAAAATGAGTGTAGATCATGAAGTCGACCTTCACATTAAAGACATCTTAAGTCGACCTTCACTTTAAAGATCATTAAGTCGATTTTCACCTTAAGTCGACCTTGCTCTTTAAACTTTAGACCTTACCTTGGCAGCGTTTAGTGCATTGATTATGGATTCGTGCGACGGCTTTTTTGAAATATTATTTTTCCAGAGACACATTCTCGGAAGTGCTTGATTTGTTTGCTCCATCTTCACTCCAAATGTCTCTCCAAAATCATTAATGCACTCAAATAGGAGAAACTGCATTCAGCAATAAATGAAGCCCAATTTAGCCATCTCCTTATAGGAACTTTTAGTATCAATTTAAATTAATTTACTCACGGTTGAGGGGAGGACAAAGCCAGTGTATCGGAGGGTGTTTGATGTTTTCCCGCCTTTGACAAGCTTCTTTTTTTCTGAAACTAAGTCCTTCCCCAAAGATTGGATACGGAGGGACTCCAGGAATGCCCATGTCCCCCATGGGAAAGACATGGAATCATCAGAGTTTGCAACAGTGGCAAGGATCCATTTCGGAATTGGGGCATCTTTCTTAGCATGACCAATTAAAACGAGAACAACAAACATCAATGTCGCCACCTTCACTATCCACTGGAGTCCATACTCTTTCTTCCCTTCATCGTCAAGTAGCTGGCACAATTTTGAGAACCTCTCGACAACTGAAGTGTAACATACCACACCCTTTGACCAGTTTTCTTTAACGAAAACAGGTAGTGAATCCTTATCATACTGCTCTTCGTATCCGGGAGCTAGTTGTGAACATTTGAGTCCAGTAATCAAGGAAAATTCCATTAGATAGTATCTAATGGGAACTCCATTTAATACAAACCACATTTCAGAACCTTTTGCTCCTTCCACATTAGCCTCCCTAACCATCAACTGCCATAACATGGCTGGAGGGGGAACAAGTTGGACATCAAGGAGAGCACCAAAAGAAGAATCTCTCCTAAACACTTCAAGGATTTCCATATGATCGCACAACTTTTCTTTCATCAATTTTTGGAAGTCTTGCAGTGAAGACTTCACAGTCAGCTTCATATGTGGAAAGTCCATTGAATTTACCTTCGTCTTTATCACCGGAACCTATATAACGGCATATAATGTCAACGAATTTCATATGGAAAGATATGCAATTAGTGCGACCAAGAGGTCGACACTTATTTTAGTCGATCAATGAAGTCGATTAGACTAAAAATTCATAAACCATTGTCCATTGGTTATTTGGAGAGAGAATAATTCATTTAAAATCAAGTTTCTGACCTCGAGTGTTCCTTGTGTGGGCTTTGGGCTACCGCTGTGCTCTTTCATCCTCTCTTCCGCATGATACTCATCGTTTCCATTCCTGGAGGAAGACACAGAAGCATTCTTCGTCCTCATTGTAGAAATTCAAGGTTTTCCGAGACCGGTGACTTTGGATGGGTAGGGTTTCGATCAAGTTTTGCAGGTGTCGAAGAGGGGGGATAGAGCACACACAGATCGAAAACTCAATGGTCGCACGATGAAGGAAGATGTTTGTGGAGGGTTTTTGTATAGTCTCTTCCGACGTCGTTTCGCCCATTCTCGGATTTTTTATTTAAATTTAAAGTTGAAACGCCGTTTAAGCTTCGTTAAATGGAATAACTTTTCATTTTCTAAGAAGCGCGTCGGTCATACACGCCTGGACATTTCCGTCAATTCACCTTTATAGGGTAGTCCACAAAATACGAAACATTTACAGGGCATTTTGATAAATTATTCTTATTTTTAGAGGCACATATTATACTATGTGCTTTCTTGATATTCAAGAATGGACTATTACTTGGGAGCATGAATTATACCTAAATCAAGAGTGGAGGCTAGGCTTACCTACTTAATATTTAAATAGGACGCAAGTGAACATAGTTTGTGTACTTATGCAGTGTAGTTATAACTCATACTGTTCTTAGAACTCAACTCGTTACAATTCCCGATGCTTCGTCTTTGCCAGATGAAAATGTTATCGTGCACATATTTAGGCTTACCCTAGTTGGAAGATTTTTAATGCGCAGCCTTAATTAGATTTGATTAAAGAACATTTTTCAACTCAATGTCATAAGTGGACATCTATTGGTTAGAGAGAATCTAAGATGTTATTACTCCCTATGTCCCGTATTAATCTTCCCCAATTGACTTTTTCCCATTTTTTTATGAGTTGACTAAGGAAGTAAATGGTCAGAAATGCCCCTACTGCCAAAGTCCCAACCTTGCGAGCACTCACCTTCGCCAGTCCCAACACCACCATTGATAGTCCCGCTGCCGCCCTCATCACAGTCGTCAGCCACACCACCGCCCCATCACCGTCATCATCCCCATGCGTGACCATATCTTCCCCTCACCATCCCTGCCATCCCCCCNCCCCCCCCCCCCCGCCAACGCCCACCATCAACACCGCCGTGCCCGCGGCTCCATCGTCACCACCATCCGCCATCGTCACACGGGGGAGAAAGAGAAAAGGGAGGAGAAGAACGGAGGTGAAGATAAAGCTATAGATCTGCCAGATCTAGGAGGAGATGGATAAGAAAGGAGAAAGGGGAAGAAAGAGGAAGAGGAGGGAGAGCCACAATGAGATCGAGAGAGAGAAGAGAGGAGGGGTGGGGTGGGGGAAGAGAGGAAGTCAAAGAAGAGGAAGGGAAGAAAAAGAATGTAGATCTGATCTGGAAGGAAGGAAAGAAAGAAGAGAGAGGGGGAGAGAGGAGTAAAAGAGATGGGGGGCGATGGAGAAAAAGGAGGAGGGAGAAAAAAAAAGAAAGAAGAGAGAAGAGAGTGAGATTTGATGGGAGGGGTATTTTTGGGACATTTGGGGTTAAATTTAGAAATGGGAAGATTAATTCTAGACGGAGAAAAAGGAGAAATGGGAAGATTATTTCCGGACGGAGGGAGTATAACATTTTCAAATGTTTAGGATTGCACTGATTTCGTACTCAATGGTCAAATTTATTTTGAGGAGTTAATCCAATCAGATGTTTAGGTGGATTCAAAATTTTACTACTAAAACTGGAATTTCTTTAGCTGTAATTTCAGTGTTACTTCATGGCATGCCTATTAAGGCTGCGTTCCGTTTGCTTGGTTTGGTCCGATCTAATTTTTTGAAAATATGATCTGATTTGGTCAGATCTGATTGTAATTATAATTAAACTTGTTTCTGATTTGATCTGATCTGGTTTGATCTAGCCTGATTTGATTATAATAAGAATAAGTAATAAGTAGAAAAAAAAGTTGAACAAAACACTACCTAACTTGATTGCGGTTGATGTCTTATCTATAGTTTGTAAGCTATTGGTAAGGTTCTAAGAGTTTATTGTGCCACACTTAATCATACTAAATCTCATGTTGCTAGGGTGAGAGTGGAGATGGATCTATTACAGCTTCTAATACATAGAATATTTGTTAGCACTTCTATTGAGCTTAGTAAAGAAGATGTAGGTATCTGATGGGCTATTGGGCCATCACCTGTTGAGCTTAGTAAAGAAGATGTAGGTATTTCATGGAAAATAAATTAGACCAGCCTTGTAACCCGTCTGGGTTCGTACAAGACCCGTCCACACCAAGTGGTAGATCACCAAAGTTTGGGTTGGCCTGCTAGCTAAATCTATCAAAGGCGATCCCAACATTCTCATGATTGACCGCATCCAGTAACGGACAACGCGTGATTGTTTAGCCAGGCGCCAAATGCTGAAGAGAATCAAGCCACGATTGGGTTACCTTATTTACTGCTTCCCTTATATGTTTCATGTAGAATAACTATAAATAGAGGCTCAAACCAATGGGATCCCCAAACAAAAACTAGCAAACTCAATACCATAAGTCGTTGTATTCTCAAGCTCTACATACTCTTATCAAAATTTCTATAATTTCATCTGCTTTTCATGTCGGATCTTCTGGTGGAATTCTTTTCCATCAAATTGGTGCTCGCATTGAGAGCTTGAGAGATTTTTCCTGAGTATAACTCTTGCTCAAACTGAAGGATGGTGCAGACACGAGGTAACCCGCATCAAGAAGCTCAGGGTGGCGGGGCCATTGGAGGTCTCAAGATACCATCTCCATAGCAGAGGCTAAGCTCCTCATCCAACGGAGTGGCATCACCATCGAACCATTTAAGGAGGTTGTTGCTGCCCTTATCCCTCATAGAGAAGGAGCACACAACATTGTTTTAACGGGAGCCTCATTGACAAGAGAAACAAGACCTAAAGGCTCAGCGGGCAAAAAGAAGAAGAAGATGACACGGCGGTCCCAGAAGAAGAAGAGGACCAAGGCCGATGGGGAATATCCCATGGATGAGGACCTGTCAGTGGTCGATAAAGAAGATGTGTCCTCCTCATATGAACGCATCTTTGCCTTTGAACGGCTGAGAACCCCAAACAGAAAAAAATGTAGAGTCTTTTTGCTTGAGTGTCTAGACGACAGTTGTTCGTCTCATAAGGAAGATTTGAGGGCAAAGATTAACAATCGAAGAGGTAAGTCCTCGGTGACATCTCGTGCACGACCGCTTGCATGGATACGGGCAACCTTCCCCAATCGAGAGGAGCAAAAGGTGGACATTCTGTGGAAGACAGTGGGGGAGCTGTAAAAGAGGGTGGTTGCTAAGAGCCCATTGTCAGGCTATTCTAGACAAGGTAACCACCTTTTCCCAAAGAGTCATGTCTTTCCCACCTCCCTTTGAATTTCAAGGTACCGCAAGTCAAGGCGTATAACAGGATGACCGATCCCCAAGACCACCTGTTTCGGTTTTGGGAAAATATGGTCATGTTGGCATATCTAGAGGAGATCAAATGTCACTGTTTCCTAGAGATGCTTGATGGACAAGTGTTTGAAATGGTTTTATAAGATGTGTAAAGGATCCATCAACAGATGGAAGGTTCTCGCAACAATTTCTTGGAACAATTTGATGCGATCCGTTGCCAACGGCTCCCCTATTTCCATGTACTGAATGTTAAGATACGGAGGGGGAGTGGCTCCGAGACTTTATATCCCGATGGGAAAGGAGGCAAGAGAGATCTAAGAATCGGATGACTAACCTTTGATCGCCATGTTCCAAATGGTACTCCCCCAAGGGGATGTGCAAAAGGAGTTGAGGATGAATCCACTTCCAACCTATGAAGAGATGCTGGCGAGGGCTAAGTATCTAGCGCTCGAAGAAGACGATGAGGAGAAGCAAGATGTGGCTTTGAAGAAAAAAAAGGTTTTGCCAATGGTAGGGGAGCTGAAGAGTAAGAAGAAGAAAGACTACACAAAAGGCCAAAATCCGGTAGGGTATCATATACGAATGAAGGGTGTCCATCCACTCCATTTAGAATCTTCCCTCTTTGTCACAACTCCAGGAGAGAAACAACTTCCAAATTGTGGCTAAATACTGTGACCTCCACTTCCAAATAAAAAAACAGAGAGCTGATTCTATTCACAAACAAAGACTATTCGCTAGTGGTAAGTGCCCACAGGGATTCCCTTGTCATAAGGGTGGAAATCAACAAGGTTTTTGTTTATCAAACCCTAGTAGATACTAGGAGTTTAGTGAACATTATGTTCAATGACATTTTCGCGGGCCGACCTCATGCCGATTCTGACTTCATTATCGGGATTCACTAGAGACACGATTAAAATGAAAGGCACAATTATGGTTAAGGTTGAGGTAGGAGATGGAACCCACCAGGTCGGGCTCGACATGGAATTCCTGGTAGTGCACCTAGACTGTGCACACCATTTGATCTTAGGTCGACCGAGCCTAGAGGATCCTAAGTCAACTGGGCCTAGAGGACCTAAACTGTGCACACCATTTTATACTAGGTTAGAGAAGAACCAACCCAGTCTATAGAAACGTGTGAAAATGATTCTTCACCAGAAGATTCAAAACAAACTTTCTTTGACTCCCTACTTGATGGTTGTGACTATGTCTGCCTAAAAGATAGTTATAGCCAAACAAGTTGGGACAAACTTGTGATTAATGATACCGAGGACTCTTCTATTGCGGTAAGTACTATCATAATCATTGATCCATAATTGGATAGTCAGCCCGTTGATGATGATGAAATATTCAATCCCGCAATAAAGGCTAAAGGTGTGGATTTACCGAGGAGACTCCCACCACCACCCTTCCATTCAAAGTTTCCTCAATATATCTTGTTGCCACTAAGCCATAGGAAGGAGTCAAGGATCCTAGACCATGACGAAGCAAAATATCATACAAGGTGGAATCAGAAGAGAGCCAGAAGGGCCAAACTTTATGACTCTCAGTTCGGGAAGTCACAAAAAAAGTGGCTAAGCGTCAAGCTACGGACGTTAAAGAAGCACTTAACGGGAGGCAACCTGACATTCTTAAACGAAAATATAAATAAGTTTTTGAGGTTTTGCTTGCCGCACCACTTTTGGGGGCAAGAGTTATTTTGTTTATTTTCTTTGATTTTGCAGATGGGAGAACCGCAGGGCATACCTTGTAGGGAAAGCAAGAAGAGGTCTTGCACGTGGGAAAAGCACTACATTTTTGCAGCTTCCAATGCTTCGTGATGCAGCAGTTTTCATTGAA